TCTCTGATCCATTCTGCTTGGCTCCACTACGTCCTGGCTATAGTTAACGCTCACGATTGGACGATGCGCTACGTTACCACTTTTGCAACCGAGATATTCTCGCTTCTCAACAGCATTATCTACTTCCATAAAGCTATACAAGAGCTTGAAAGAGCACACGATAGCCTATCCTTTGCAGCATTTCTCTACGCTATCATAGGAGCAGTGGGAACGATGCTGCTCGCAATATTTCTATCCACGGCCGAGAGCTGGCGCCCCCTGTTCCATCGATACATCCGAATGGGTTTAACCGAGTATGCTGCTGCGATCTCCATCATCATCTTCATCGGGCTTCCCCACGTTGGAGAACTAGCCCATCTGGACAAAATGACACTTCCAGTCAGCACCTCATTCAAACCTACATCTCCCAGTCGGGATAGATTCCTCGTCGAGTTCTGGCATCTCCCTGTATCTTGGGTGTTCGCCGCTATCCTTCCCGGAATCATCATCACCGTGCTCTTTTTCTTCGATCACGAAGTTAGCTCAATCATCTGCACCATCGATCGCTACGGCACCAGGAAACCAGGAGGCTTTGCTTGGGACATCGTCCTCCTCGGCACTACAACAGCACTATGCGGCATTCTAGGAATTCCCCCTGCCAACGGCCTTCTCCCCCAAGCCCCTCTCCACTCTGAATCCCTGATGCATACAGAGAAGGAACAGCGCACGATCACAGTCGACGGAGAAGAAAAAACCGAAACATACGAAGTAAAGCGCGTCTACGAACAGCGCTGGTCAGCCTTCCTCCACTCAGCCGTCATCCTCCTCTTCGTCAGCCCGCCCTTCATGAAAGTGCTCGGCTTGACCCCAACAAGCGTCCTAGCAGGGCTATTTATGTTCATGGGCGAACAAAGCCTATCAGTCAAGTAAGCCGTCCACCATCATACCACAATGGAGAGTCAACCCCACTAACAACACCAGCCCAATCCTCTACCGAACCTTCTACCTCCTCACACCTCCCTCCGAGCTCCCTCCCCTCCCACCATCTCTTGCCCCACAACAAGAACAACAGCCAACCACCTCCGAAGAAGAGCCCCCAACACCATCATACATCCCCATCCACCTCTACACCATCCTCCAAATCGTCATAACCGTAGCCATCTTCATCCTCACCCTCACCCGTGGCGCACCCGCATTCCCCGTGCTCATCGTCCTACTAGTCCCCTTCCGTCTTCTCGTCATGAAGCGCTGGTGGCCCCGCGAGGTCCTGCGGTTCGTAGACGCATGGGCATGTAGAGAGGGGACACCAGAGGATGACGAAGACGCTGAGGCGAAATTGTGCAGTGAACATGGACAGACGGGAGGGGTTTTTGTTTCCCATGATCAGTCTGGTTCTGATACTGCCGTGACTGAGGATATGCGGATAAGCCAGGGAGTTGACTTGGGGGGAGGTGATCTTGGAGATAGACGTGGGGATTGTGGAACTGGGAATGAGTGGGTTGAGTTGGGCGTTTGGGGTCGTAATGATGAGGAGGCTGGAGGTCCGGCACGACATCATGGGGAGAAGTGATCTTTGCACTCGTTTAGAGAGGGGTTGCGATGAGATGGATAGCTGGTCATAAAAGTACAGATACAATGAGGGTTGGAAAATGTCTATAGATCTGTCAATATATTATCATTATTATAGACAAGGCCACCGCTTCAAAGGCAGGGTATCAATCAATACATCAGTGAACCATTTAATCGGTGGTATGCGCCATAAACTCCCCCCCCCCCCCTTCAACGAAACAGCAGAATGAGCTAGGAATCCACTAAAAATGCCAGCCACCTAAGCCCTCCACCCCTGCACAAACTCATGCAACCGATCAATCACAACCCCAAAGATGGCATTAACACTATCACTAATAAGCTGTTCGAAATGCCGAATGGCCTCTTCTTCTGACATCTCCAGATGGAACCTCTCCTTCACCTTCAAAACAGCCTTATCGGGCTCGACCCGAATATCAGGAATATTCGCATCGACCATCAGACTGAACAGGTTAAGGATGAGATTCGCCGATTTGCGCAGCGTGGTATACGCTGTGAAGCAATACTGCTTGAACTGGAGATACAAGGGGGAGGTAGTCCCGCCCATGCCCTCGACCATCTCCTTGCAGAGTTTCATCATGGGTGCGAACGGCTTGGGGTCTCGGCCGAGGATAAAGCCGAAGTCGGCGTGGAAGAAGTGGCCATCGGGGGCGAGGAGGAGGTTCTCGAGGTGGCGGTCGCCGACGCCGAGGAGGTAGGTAATTACGCAGTAGCCGGCGCAGGATTTGATGTAGGTGTCCATTGTTTCTTTGCGGACGCCGAGGGGTTCGCTGTCGTCTGGGTTGTTTGCTTTGAGATAGGCGAGGACGGATTTGTATTTGGCGGAGATGGCGGAAAGGGAGGCCGAGGGGATGAATTGGACGGCGCCGGCGGTGGAGTTGGTGGCTAGGATGCGGTAGGGGGTGAGTTTGAGGTCGAGGTTCTCCTTTTGGAGGAGTCGATCCATTAGGATGATGATTTGGATGACAAGTTGGTCTTGGCGGAGGTCGTCGCCAATTTTGAACAGGATGGGGAATTTCCGTCCGTCGGAGGTCTTGAACATGACTTGGAGAGGGGAGAGGGAGGATTTGAAGACATTTGCTTCGTCCGGATAGCACCCGGTGACCTGGATTTCCGGGTCCAGGGGCAGTGGCAGTGGAGGGTCGATGTGTAGCATGTCGTTCTTCGGATCCTTGAGGCACTGCTTCAGTCGTTCGATCTTGAGGACCCGGTTCTCGCGCGAGAACCGGACGTCTTTGGCGATCTTTGTGAGTATAGTGACCAGTTCGCCTTGGCGCAGGAGGGTCTTGCGATGCTCCGGGTGGACTTTCTCGAGCTCTGCCATGAAGTAGTATTCCACGCGTGCGAAGAGTCTACGCTGTGCTGACAATGTTCCTGGCCCTGCATCGTCGCATTCAACCATAAGGTACCAATGTAGGTAGTTGCCTAATTTGAAATTGTTCGCAGCGCGGGCTATAAGGAAGTTGGCCAAAGACGAATCGTGGGCGGCGTCATCAACATCACCGTGAGAGTGTTCTTCATATTTCAGAGCCTGTACAAGTTGTAGCAGGTAAAGAAGTAGCTCTTCATCGTCCGCCTTGCGCAGTCTTTCAACTGCATATGAACGAACTGCAGGATTATCGAAAGTCGGTCCAAGCAACTCAAGAGCATCGTCTACATCAATTTCGGTCCATTTGGGTAGTATCTCGACGGCTTGATGCGCTTCACCAACATCCCTCCAGTTGACCGACTTGACAAACTTAGTCAGCGCTCTCTTCTCACGGGTTAGGTAGTATCGGAATCGCCAAACAAGGTCTTTCTCCTCAGCGGTGAGATCCTGCGTGGGCTCGTATGACAGAATTACGTTGAGTTCATCGCGAATTTTGGGGTTTGGTTTCAAATCACGATCCATGATGCCCGTCCGATGGCTACGGATCAGTCTCCGATGCTTGTCTTCACATGGATTACCGGTTTGACCAACTTCAGGGTCGTATATTCTGATGACTCCGCCACCATCCGCGCCCTCTATTCCCGGACCAAAGCGAACTTCCGGTACGGGTTTTAAGGCGGGATTTGCAGTTGCAGGCGCACCTTGGGAGTAGGACGACATTGGAGGGGCTGGATACTCATGATCGGACCAGACGATGGGGTGATCAAAGCGCGGAAACTCAACGTAGAGGATGAAGTTTTCATCGTCCACATCGTCATCATCTGAGTCGTCCTCATCCCCGCCATGCTCCGAGCGCTTCTGTTTCGTAGCTTTCAGGCGTAAGGCTCGTTTCCTTGCAGCCTCCTCGGCATTGAGTTTGAGCCTTTCCAGCTGGCGAAAGACTAGTTGGTCCATCCAGTCAATGCGTGGTATTTCCCCCATCTCATGCTTCTTGATCAAAACTTCGATGCGTTCTAGCTCCATCTCCTCTTCCGATGGGCCTAGCGGATCTGGGACGTTGTTCTTCCGACGTTTCGGAGGCGGTGTTGACGGCGTTGTCGTTGTGGAGAAACCATCCGCGGCTCGGTGACGATATATCTTGCATTTCTGCCTGCCCATCTTCAATTTGCCTTCTCCGTCAAATAACGGTATAGTCGTTCCGCCAAAAGGCACATAGTGTCCGAGCGCTCCTTCGCCGCCAAACGGGGAGAGATCCCAAACGGTAATCGCCAGTTGACTTTTGAGGGGAGCATCCTTTATTGATATCGGCAGCTGCAGCCATTCATTCCAGGCTCGAGCGGACTTGAAGGCCTTATATGAGGTCTGCAAAGGCACGCCCAAGGCTTTGGAATCTGACCATAGTTGGATGGTCACGAAGAGGTCGGAGACGGGATTCTGCGCGGAACCGATGTGACGCAATTCTGGATGTTTCAAAAGGAGGGAGAAAGGCGCTTGCTTCTGCTTCCCTTCCAATGAGCCACTACATCCATCCAAAGTTAGCCAACTTGCTCGATTGTTGTTGGATCAAGGGAAACCAAGGCACACATACATCTTCACATGAATTGGAAAATCCACCTGAGTGGACACAGTAAAGGTAAAGGCCTCCATCGTTAGCTCAGGGCCATTTGTGTCCACCGTATATGTAACCACACGCCCTTCATTGCAAGTATGAAATGAGGACTCGGGACTGGGTTGCCGGGGAAGTGAGCGGCGGGTGACATTGGATGGGGAGCTCCGGCCGGAGACCCAATGGAGCCGCAGCGGCTGATTGGCGGGAGGCCTGGGGCAACAGCCAGCAATGACGCGGGGTCTTCCGGTATCACGTGCAGCACGCGTTCAACGCGCGCTTCGGTCGGTTTGCCTGTATTTGGCGACCAAGAAAGAAATATCCCGGAGAGAAAGATATCACAGGTTGCTATCGGGGACTCGATGAGCCCGTAGCTAATGCTGATTTGCAACGCATCTGCTTATGCCTCTTTTTAATTCAAGACCTTCTTTGTACCTGTCCTTTGTCTTACTACCCTTTAGCCACTCGACCTGAGGCGGCCCCAATCGTGTTCTTTGTCAACCCCTCCTCCCCAACGGTGTGTTGTCGCAGAATATCTGCCCGGCGGCTAGAGATGGCACCTCCTCTTTCCTCTACATATCCGAACCACCCTGTGTCGCAAGGATCGCCATCCGATAAGGAGAATAGTTCAAGTGCAACAGGGAACACCAAAAGAAACCAGCCGCAAACGATGGCACACGCCCGTAGAGCTAAGCGAGCTCGACTATCAGCAAGAGACTCGAATGTGCAAGCCACCCAGTCTCAAGTAGCGTCGCAGGCGACACGGAATAGTGCCAATCAGTTTTACGATCCGGATCAAGACCACCGAGAAAGGCGACAAGTTCGTAAGGGCCTCAGAGATTTGACGCGGGACCTCAACGGTAAGGCTGGCTGTGGCTCTGTATCTTACCGCCGAGTCTGACATGGTTTATGGTAGACTCTAGGAATGAATATTTACAGGCTGGCAACCATGGCCTGCGTGACACCATCAAGAAAGCGAACGACATCTTTGAGAATGTCAAGCAGACTTCTGACGCAACCATCGATTCTCGCCTGCTTGTTCAAGCGGCTGATCTGTCATACAAAAAGACGGCACAGTTGGTGCTGGGGGATGCTAGTGCAGGGATAGATGTGGATGAGTTTGTCTCTAAGTGTATCTCTTTCATGCGCCGGGCGCCTGCGGATTCCCAAGTTTCGATGCCTTCCAGCACCCAACGGCGGCGCACGGGTATCGGAAGGAGTCAGATGGACCCCAACGACAGCGACGAGGATCAAGGGGATGCGATGAACTGGGACTGGCTCGGGCGCGCTGCTTGTTTCTGCAGTAATGCCCGACCGTCAGTTCCTGGCTTCCTGCTGGGACCGCTTTCAGTACAGAAGCGCGTCCGGCAGCAACCAGTACGAAGAGCCCGCGAACGAATCGACCCAGCACGGGCCGTTGCACCGCAAGAACTGCAAGAAAAAGATCTGGACAGGCAAGAAACATCGAATTTGACGACTATGTGTGCCAGCATCAATCGACTTCTGGCTAGAACCCAAAACAACGGACAAGATGTGGTAGAGGCAGAATTGTCGCAGTTGCCGGATGACCCCGACGAAGATACGGTGCAAGAGGTGATGGCGAGGAACAATGTGGCCGATGATGGAGGTGTTCCTCTGTTCCAATTCTGCATTAACCCGCACTCTTTCGGACAAAGTGTGGAAAATCTATTCTACGTTAGCTTTTTGGTCCGGGACGGCTTGGTTGGAATCGCGGTGGATAGCCGGGGCATGCCCACTTTGCGTGAGTCCTGCTCAGTACCCTACATGATATGAGCATTTAATTGACCATTCTCAAACAGATTCGGCAAAGCCTCATGCGCCTAGTGAGGCCCAGAGAAAGGGCATTAAGAAGCGTCAGGCCATTTTCACACTCGACTTTGAGACCTGGCAAGAGTTGATCCAAGTCTATGACATCAAAGACTCCATCATTCCTCATCGGGAGGAAGAGACGCAAAATACAGCACAATCCTGGCAAGGCTAATTTCAGATGACTAGAATGGGTTTGGAGAAGTGCGTTGTGTATTGTTTATATTCTGTGGGAGTGCTTTGATTATGTGTCTGTGGATAACGTGATACCCATTTGGTGTGAACGGTGTTGGTATGAATTTTGAGCATGAATTTTGTCACGGCGTATGGGTGTCCTGAATGAACTAGATACAGAGTGTGGTCCACAACTAGTATAGTATCGCAGAGCTTGTCCCCAAGGTTTTGCATCCAGCAGAGGGATAAACACTGGTCCCTGGAGGGTAACTAGTGCTGCTGGCCAAATCGTCATTGGTTCAAAGACAGCCAAGCTCCCAACTCTATCTCCAATTCAAACCCCACCCAAGCTGAGTACCTTACAATTGGCATGTGGTTGACAGCTTATGTGGAGATGCAAAAAGAGTTAATGGTTGGTCCGACTTTCCTCGAGGACTGGCAAGTTGGAGTTAGCTAAATACATAGTAAATGCTAATAGCTAGCACCTTCCGGAAATATTCACCAGGCACGTAACACCAAATTGTTCCTGCTGGTTGCGGGAACACAAGAGGACGGGCCCTGGGTGCCTTACGTCATAGGCTTTACGCCCGAGTGAATTCCCCAGGCAGAGCTACTGCTCGTCCCCGATCGATCGCGACCTTATCTTCTTTTGTACACACTCTCACATCACTAGACTCTCGTGGTCTTTCACCTGTCCGCAGCCTGGTTTCACCAACACGCTGCTCCGCCGCACAATATTCATCATGGCGCCCCAGCTCTTCCCCGCCAATCCTTCAGAGGTCATGGTGATCCGCAATGTGACTTCCAACGTCATTACCTTAAGCTTGCCATTTGCGCGTTTCGGTCGGCTCAAGTTTGGTGGACGTGGTACACTTGGTTCGCACTTCATTTCCTTTTTTCTTACTCAGGCTCACACTTTCCCGGTGTCATTGTGATTCAAATTTAATGTGCGCATGTCTTGCTAATGGTATCTTACAACGTCGGTGAAAATAGTCAAAATGGAAACCGGTTCCGTCGCCGTCTTCTCTCCTGTTAATTTGACTCAAGAAGTGCGTGAAACCATTACCGGTCTCGGAGGCAACGTCAAATACATCGCAGCTCTGGATATGGAACATCATATTCACTTGACCGCCTGGAAGGAGGCATTCCCTGATGCTGCCATTATCGCTCCCGAAGGGCTCTGGGAAAAGCGCCAGTCCAACCCCAAAACCAAGGATTCCGCACCTTTCGAACATGTTTTCCGCAAGGACGCCAATGGAAAACAGAAGATCTCGGAAGAGTTTGACGCGGAATTCGAGACGGAATATGTGCATGGCCACCCTTCGCGCGAACTTGTCTTCTACCATCGCCCGTCCCGCTCGCTCATTGAGGCGGATCTTTTGTTCAACCTGCCTGCGAGGGAGCAGTACTCCAGGACTCAGGAGAGCGCCACATCAGGTGTTTTCACCAAGATGGTCTCTCCATTGATGTCCGCTTCTTCACCTGCGACTTGGCAGAAGAGATTCGTCTGGTATATCCTGTCCAGTGGAGATCGGCAGGCTTTCACCGAGTCCATCCGCAGAATCGACAAGTGGGACTTCAATCGCCTGATTCCTTGCCATGGAGACGTGGTTGAGAGCGGCGCGAAGGGGGTTTTCCGCACCGTCATGGAATGGTTTCTTGCTGATCGGAAGCACGTGTAGTACGACAGATGAATGGCCGGTCTAATTCGTTAATGTCTTACCTCCTGGATTCCCTTACTCGTTAATCTTTCGTCTCGTTTTCTTTCGAGGGACGCGAATTGAGATATCCTGCAAACGACAGCTTGCTGTTTCGTGGTGTTTAACGCCATGCTTTCAATGTACCAATAGCCTAATATGAAAATAGCCATGAGAACAGCTGCGCTGTGACTCTGAATAAAAGCGGACATTGTGCGCTCCTTGGTGGACACTCCCTGTATTTATGTAGATCTTGTGCACTCCCTTACATCGGATGAAAGTCAGCTACGGCAATGATTAGCGGCCATCCGGCAAAATTGTTAACACAGCATGTTGCCAAGTAGTAGATCAAAACGCTATATCGCTGGCCACTCAGCAAACGGGTGCCACAGATGTTTCAGCACGAAAGATTCCTAATGTTCAAGCATGCTCATCGCATAGTTCACCGCATACTAAACAGAAATAGACGATATTTTTCACTGCTCATTACTCTATACACACTACGTACTCCAAAGTGCAAACAAAAGCCCCTCACCACACGGCACAAATCTATAACCACACCGGCGAAGACACATTTCTAGATATTTCCAGAATGCTGTTTAGCTCCTCAGCTGGAGTCCGTCCCATCCCACACTCAGTCGCGACCCCAAAGTCCGACACGACTGACTTAGCCGTCTGGATTCTCCGGCGAGTGCCCTCCTCATCATAGGCATGCACGACCCCCAAATACAACTTGGTATCTTTGCCCATCTTCAGCCCCCTCAGGGGCTCAAAGTAAGCAACATCATCCCGATCCTTAGACACAGGCATATGCACCCAATCAACCGGACGAGGCTGAATACGCTCGAAGATATTATTCGCCAGCTCAACCAGAAGACCGAGATCCTCCGGCTCGACGAAATGCTTGTGCCCCAGGTCCCCGTAGCACAGGTGGAATCCAAGCGGGACTCCAGCGGGGATGAGAGCGATGTCGCTGACGCGTTGAATACGCTCTAGCACGCCCTCCATCACTGGCGAGAAATGAGGCTTGAAGAAGGGGTCTGGGAGCCGGCCGCGCTCGTTCTCAAGCGCTGTGACCTCGAAGCAGACATCCCATTGCAGGGCGAGGTCGTGGGCAGGGATGTTCTGGATGATGGATTGGACTGATTCGATCATGCGCTGCTCGTACAGGGGGTCCAGCTGGGCGTGGAATTCTGCGCGTGTGTGGCCCTGCACGCAGTTCAGGGGTAGGGGGAGGGAGACTTGGAAGCGGACTCCCGAGGGGATGATCTTTTGGTCTCGGAGCTTGAGGAAGGTTTGGTAGGATTCGAGTGCGACTGTGTCGTATCGGGTTGGCTTGATGTCGTTCAGGGTGAAGCCGGGATGGTCGGCGGGTAGATCGGTTCCTCCGAGGAAGTGGTGGATGGCTTCCTTGGGGAAGCTGTCGACTTGCCACCGGATGTAGTTGTCGCGGATGCCGGTTTCGCCGTCGGGGATGGAGAAGAGTCGGTCTGGTAGTGCGGCGGGGATCTTGTGGAAGACTTCTTCGGTTGAGGAGAGGGGGATGCTGCCTAGTAGGAGGATACCGGATGGTGAGGTGCTTTCATGGTTTTCAGTGGACATGTTCATGGGGGTTGGGTTGGAATGGGATTGTTAGGATATGCCAGAAACATAGATGGGGGTTTGGAGGGACGGGGAGCAGCGCGGGGTGACGGTGGAAATAAGTAGACAAAGTGACAGGCATCCCCTGTTTCTGTGATTGTGCCAACTACGCGTTCGTGTGACATTTGTCTCTCACTAACATGCTGGGATGGTTGTTAGTGTAGGCGATTCTTTGATGTGATGAGGGGGAATTGCCCGCAAGTATCCACTTGTAGTGGGGATTAGACAAGGCCCGAACCATGATCCATGCGGCGCTGGCAGGCACCGACAGGTGCACGTCGACGATCATTATGGCCATTGGATGGACAGTATTGGCTGATTTTGAACGATCCCGGTCTAGCAGCTCAGCCGTACAATCTTTCAGTCTGGAGGTTGTGCTTGCTGTGAGGCGATTGGATACTGATTCCAGGATTGTGGCGGTTTTTGTCTCTCCCCTCTTGCGGCTATGCTTTCCGTCAATGGCAGTATGTGCTCGATCTAAGGCTGCCGGTCAGAAGCCCGCGACCGACTTTCCTCCATGTATACATCCCCTCTATCCATTCTTCGTTGCTATGTTTGGAAGTCTGACGTCTCAGCAAATAGCCAGTTATGAGGCGCATGCGAGTGATGACTTGAGCCCGAATGAAATAGCTGCCGATATCGGTCTGCTCTTCGCGTTAGCTGCGGTCTCAGTCCGAGTGTTGTCCTGATATTACTTGCGGGTTCTATTCGGATGTGATGTTTGCTAACGTTAGGGTCACTCTTTGAAAGCCAGATCTTTGCGGACCAGCCGTATGATATATAGGATCGAACACCTGCAAATAACACCTTAATTCATACACCGTCTCGAAAGATCTACTGCAGGATGGCATCCGTCTAACACGCGACATCACCCATGAGCCTTGGTCATGCACATTCAAAGTGAGTCTGTGGGGAACTGAGGAGGAGCAGAACTGACAAAGTCGGAGCATTCTGCTGATATGATCAACATGGACATTGCTGGTGACCGTTGTCACCAAAAGCGGGTCGAGGAGCCTCAAGTTCAGGCCACACTGCCTATAGTATAATTCTGCAGGGGGCCGTAGAAATCTGGCTAGTAGTAACCTCAAGTATGGGCCAGGTAGGTAAGTTCAGCCTTCGGTCCATCATAGTCAGGAGTCTAAATGCAGTTCTCATAGAGGAGTAGGCTTTCCATTCGCTCGCAGAAGACGATAGAGACCGCGAGGCAGCGGTGTCTTTTTCTGGCCCGATCTTTCAGAATGCCTTGGTTACGTTGCCATGCGTATAGGCTCCTCAGGAGATGGTAGGTACGCGACTGGGTCGATGTAGGGATAACTTGTACTTATTCAGTACTTGGTATCTTCCAGACTAGTAGTGGCCTGCAGGTCCATATCAATCTGATTTATTGTAGTAGCATGCATGATCTAATCCCGGTCGGTAAAAGTAGCACACACGTTCAGAAAGACTGTCTAGATATTATGGTTCTCCAGAGTTTCCAGTAGAGCCAGGCTCATGGGTCGGACTCATACTGGTGTATCATAATGGGCGCATATTTTGGTAGGTCGAGCGAGCATAATACATAATTTAGGTAAATTAAGCAGGTAGGATGGGAGTGTATAAACCGTACTTTTCATAGTGAAGTTAATGTAAAATTAATAAGAGTCTAACTAGGATATATTCATAACGGGGAAATGTGCCAGCCGGGTAAGCGGAAATGGGATGTCGTCTTCTAAATAGTTAGTCCAAGGGCGTGCTGTGACATGTGACACAGCCAACGCCCGTGGAAAGAATCTCCGGCGTTGCGCCCCTTTTCGTTGCCGTAAACTTAAGGTTTCCACGCGCTAAACCCTAGAACTTCGGGGTCTGTCCGATTTATAGGGTCACCCCTGGTTGGTGAAATTCGGAGGATATTACCAATAAAAGAAGCCTAGAACAGTGTTAAGTTCTCCATCATCAGATTTTTGTTGCCAACACGTACTTCGTAGACTACCCTACGGAGTTCTTTAGTAGCAAGTAGATAGATCAGGCAACACCCACCACTAATGAGAAGGGCCCGACTACCGGCCAGGCTTTGGAATCCCGACTGCTGTCACTCAAGACGATCGGAATGTGAAGAAATGACGTAGGTGTGTTACTAATTACGAGGGCAGCTTAGTTAACTATAGTAACAAGATATCACCGACTATCTGCAAATTAATGGCTTCTACTACGTCGTGCCCACTGGTTCCTGTACAACAACAACAACCTTTACTGGCAGCGCCACATTAAAACTACGTGTTCTAGGCTGCCACGCATCTCCCCTGACGTCACAGCCACTACCACTGTTTACGGTTTTGGTTGTTTCTTTTCGCATGTTGATTTTTCAGCTGTTTTACCCTCCCCCTTTTTTTTTTTTTTTTTTCCATTTCCCTTCCATAGTTAGGTGACCGATCAGATTATTAAGTCCTGGGTCATCCGGTAGGATAGATGAGCAGTCGGATGGACCGACTCCAGCGAATACTCCATCCACAGGGCGGGATAAACATGGGTCAGTCACACCCACTAGGAGAAAAGAAGGGACTGGCAACGATCCCCTAAACCGGAGGGGGTAAAGTCGGGGCGCTATTGAAGTTAGCGGGTGGATGTGCGGTGGAGAGGAACAATAGCCTAGTGATGGGGACCAGTGGATAGCAATAGGTACGATTCTCCAGCAGCATTTTCTTCAAGCGAGTGGTTCAGCCTTAAAGCAGGTCGCTCTGCAGATTATACGATGAAATGTATAAAAGGTGGCTGAGTGATTCTATATGTGGCACTTCTTTGATGGTTGCCTATAAGTTGGACCATAGGATGATAGCTTGGTACCTATAGCTGGGGACTCGGCGCAAACACAGCCCATCGTAGCATTGTGACGCTCTCACCCGATCAAAAAGGACCACTAATTAATTTAGTTTCTTCACACCGAATTGAAAAGAAGGAAAAATTTACTTTATACTTTGTAGAAACTTCCCACCCTATCCCCATCCACTTCTTGCCAGCGGGTCGATCAGTTACCCAGCCTGGTTGAGGAGAATGTTGCGCACTGAACGTTGGGCAGGACGCAAGATTGTGGGCTGGCCAATCGTAGTCTCAAAAGCGATGTCATGTCACTGGCAGACCCGGTGATCAGAACAGACTAGAATTACCAGAAAGGAGTCGATGAGCAAGGGAAATTTATGTTCCCCCCTCGTCTTTCTTGGTGTTTCCTCGCCCAGCAAAATTCGTGTTGCGGATCATCGGCTCCTCTGAGAAGCTTGCTTGATCGTCATTTCGATTATTTAAATCACACCTCCACCTCATCTTCTTTTCTCTCGTCGCTTCTTGCTGGTTATCCTACCGATTTACTTCTCGTTCCTACTTCAGTGACGCTAGCTATCTACTTCGTGCTTACTCCAACAGCTACTACATCACACTATTGGCGACCCTGCATTTGCATCGACTCCACATCACCTAATCGCCAACATGCCTGTTATCTCCCGCCTAATCTCCATTGTCTTTCGCGTCGCGCAAATTGTTTGTGGTGCGGTATGTATTTCAATATGATTAATAAAAAATTATTCTGCTCTCTATTTCAAACGCTAATATAAGTTATCGATTTCTATAGGTCGTCGCCGGTATCATCGGTCACTACCTTGCCCAATATAGCGGTGACGCATGGCCTGAGGCCCGCTGGATCTACACCGAAGTCGTCGCCGGGTTATCAATCCTCCTGGGCCTGATATGGCTCATACCATTTTCCTCTGGATTCTTTTCCTGGCCATGTACGTCGTCACATGTCCATTCTTTATTCCTCCGCAATTGCTGACTCGTTCCTTTCCCGCAGTTGACGTCATCATCTCCCTTGCGTGGTTTGCCGCATTTGGTATCCTTGTCAACGCCATTCACAAGTTCAGCTGCGGCAGTATCTGGCACTGGGGTGGTCTCTACCGCAACAATACTTGCAGTCGCTGGAAGGCTGCTGAAGCGTTCAGTTTCATCTCTGCTATTGTCTGGCTTGCTTCGGCGCTTGTGGTATGTTTTGTTACACCCCCTGCTGGCTATTGATGCATACTGACGATCGTGATACAGGGTCTTTGGTTCACTTTCCGTGTCAGGAAGGATAGCACTGCTCCTACCTAGTAAGTCAAATCATGACCGTCATTGTGAGAGATTCGATACTAACAATGTCGCATCAGTGGTCGCCGTCGCTTCTTCGGCCGTTCTGCCGTCTAAACGTGGAAAAATCTCAGCGCTAAATAGTTGGTCCATTTCACTATGGACTACGAATACCCCATCTAACGGAGACTTGGAAATGCTGCGCATGTGCTTTGCGCCACGCAAATTTCTCGACTCCAACGCTCTTTTCACGTGAAACGTTGATTAATGCTTCTAATACATGATTGCCGCCAACACTAGTACTAATTTTGCTCGAGATTCCGCTTCTATGTATGGTGGAGGCTTTGAGGAGATGAGATGAGATGATATCATGATTTTGCTTTGCTTATACCCACCTATAGCTGTTTGAGCTGGTTGCTTTTAGAGGTACTGAGGCGTCCATTCGTTACTATACCCCAGGAGCTGAGTCTGAGTGCTAAGCAAGACATCTAATGTCGAGCATGCTCACTTGAATAACTTACTTCAATATACTATATCATAATATCAGAACTGAAACAGTCAAATTATATACCAATTTACTGAAGTCCCATCTAATATCTGCGCTACATATCTTCATATGGAAACAGCGATCATGTGAAGATACACGCATGTGTCAGGTGATCAAGGCAACATCCTTACAGACTCGTTCCTCCCCTTCCTTCTCGTTATCACGGATTGAAGAGGGTCATGAACTAATCGAGCTTTCTCTAATATAGTTACTACCGCAGGACCAAGTCTGCAGATCTCTCCGGCGATTGACCTGAGATACTGCTGTGGTGCAGTTTAAGAGATCAGGATCCACCGCCCCCGCCTGTGTGATACATCAGACCAACTCATATAAAGACATGGAAGAACTTACCACCACATCCTGAGCTCCCTCCCCCTCCCCCTCCCCCTCCCCCTCTCGACAATTCGTCTCCTCCGCCATGACGA